TCAGTCCCTGTCAATCCCACGCTATGACATTGGGTTTCCCACATATGACGCAGAACTCAACATGGGATTTCTCGATTTCTCGTAATATCCGTCACATTTCCCATCTTTGCGGAACTTTTGCCATGCCCAGTCCTACCCACATTTCCTGTCCACAGCTGTTGCAACGACACACCACTGCACCACTTTTACAGTACATACATATTCCTGCCTATCTAAATGATGAATATCCAATGCTGGTGATACGCTTGGATCTCAGAAACGCTCATCACCGACTAGATCCCCAAAGTCTTAGATTCTAGCCCTGATCGACTCGGAACTAATTCTCCTACGACTGCGCTTTGCTGGTTGCGCCAAGCGACCGCATCTGGGATTGAAGCAGTGACGTCAAATAAACTTTCTTTCTTTACAACAGCTTCTCCTCCCTCTCCCTCGAGATGATAACCATAACCATTTAGTTGTACTATCTCCCTTGCGTGATTGGAGGGCGGGCCCATTATCGCCATCCGTGGCACTGCCTGTTTTTAGGTAGTACAGGATCGTGTGCTTCCGCGTTTGAATTCATCTCATGGTTACCTTGTGCGATGGCGCCCAGACTAGTGACACGTCCCGCCTAACATAAGTCTGTTTGCCAGTCTTCCGTCCGACGAGTCAGGAAAATGCGCGTAATTAGTTAGAGAGTGGTCCCCGGAGGATCTCTCCCAAAAGCGCGTCCCCGTTCGCTGGTAAGAATCTACTGCGCGGTATATATTGGCTAGCTCATTTTGCGGATAACTAGTTGCTAAACAATTGGCTATTTACGTCGGCCGAAGATTCTCTTTCAACCGGGCGGCACACTGAAGTAGCACGATGCACTGAGCGAGCTATAATGGCGGGACTATAATACCTATTGCAGTCGGAGACCAATTCTCGAATCGCCGTGTCGCATCAACACAGACCGAACCAGATGCAAGATTGGCTTTGAATTCGTAATGCGTGTAACTGCTCAGAAGCAAAAGAGTTATCTTCTAGGGTCACGGAATGCACCTACTGCCTGTCCTATCACGACCTTAATTGCCCAGAGCATTTTGTTCTGTTAAGGGAGCTTGGTGCATACTTAGGCATGTCAAAAAATAAAGCATACGGCTTCAGGCGCCTGTGATAATCATGAATTTACACTAGGTTTACGCGGTCTCTCACCTAAACCTAATGTATTGATTCAAGGCACGTCGCTTATCGCTCCTTTAACCTTACACGCCGTGTTTGTTGGAGGTTGGTAAGCACAAGGACTTTCCACTCGGCTGTTGTTACCACTTGCGGGTATTGCAATGCACATGGTCGGCCGCTTAACGAATAATGGTCACTGTTATAGTATATACTAGATCTCCAACCTAACACCGGCTTGGTTCGCGGTCTTCTTAGCCACAATGTACTCGGTAACATTCACCAACGAGTCTATTAACCCGATATCGTCTACATCACAACAATCACAGCTACCAAGTGCCGTTCAAGAGAAATTAGTACCATAGTCACCGCCACTGTCAATTACTACATACGGCATATCTGCTGGGTCTTTGAACAGGTCTATTAGCCTCTTACTAACGCCGTAGGTGGAATATTATGGCAAGCGAAGATTGTTTCGCAGGTATTCATAGTCCATATTTTGTTCAACGAAGAGGTCACGTATGCGACCCTGGATCGGTACGTGATGTAAGATGATTGGCTTAGTCTCCAGCTCGAGTTCATTTCTGCTACTGTCCAGTTGAATAGATTTCGCTGTCACGGGATTCGGATGTGGCTGCATTCACCCGAGACCGGGAACAAGTGCGAATTGCAAACGTATAGCACCATTAGTCTCCCAATATCCACATTTGAATTCGATATAACTACCATATAGCACGCGATCGCAACTCGATAATTTGCTTGCCGGATGTAAGGGTTTGTCCACCCTCGATGGCGTTCTCACGCACCCGCATTTTATCCGGTCAGGAGGTTTCACCTTCAAGCCAGCCACGGCGATCTCGCATGGCATTGGGAGACCCGAAGGCCAGAAACGTCGAAAGGAGCTTTTAATTTGAGCCTCTGAACATTTGAATGCTCGGATTGGTCACCAGGAGCAATACACAATGCACTTTCGTGTATAAGGAGCGATGATTTATGAGGCCGATTTGCTGGACGACAACTCCGCCTATGAGGCGATTTACGGCATGAAGTGCGGGAAATAGATCCAAGATGAAAGGAGTGAGTAAAATCCATAGGTGAGTCCCTATTATAAGCGTTCACGTCGGCTGATCTGGCCTGAGGAGGAATTCTTAGACCATCGACATTTAAAGGTAGGTGTATACGATCCAAGACTGAGCCTAGCGCCATCAGCAAGAAAATATTGTTTGCATTGCTAGACAAATTCATGTTACAAGGAAGCACATACCCGCTCAGTCGATTTATGGTTACATTTCCGCGCAATGTGGCTCAAAACTTTAAAAACTCGCCTGAAGCACGACCACGACCACGGAGTAGAGGGGGAAGAAGGAGAGCGAAGTGTCGCCTCAACCAGCAACGATTATGTAGTAGTGTGGGATAAGACAAGGCAGAGGGGCGAGAACGAGCCTCTAGTCACAACAGAAGGCGCTCTTATCTTACCCCACGGGTCCGCCGTAAAGCGCCTCCAGAAAACCCTGCGGTACGACGAGGAATACGCGGCCTGGCGGGAGCCCCTAGGCGAGAAAGCGCGCATGCCGCCGTGCGAGACGGTCCTCGAATTCCGCCAATACAACAGCGCCTTCGCGCGCGCGGCGTGGGCGAAGCTACCCCCGGAGCCGACGATCCAGCGCGTCGGCTACAACGACGTCATCGCGCACGACGGGGCGACCGTCGGCATCACGCGATTCGTGACTGCGGCCCAGCTCGGCCCCGCGACGACGACGGAGACGAAGTCCTCGATTCTGCGCGGCGAGACGGGCGCGGGATTACCCGCGGTCCTGTATATCCACGGCGGCGGCCTCGTGGCCGGCAGCGTCGACGCCGTGACGGCGCAGCTCGCTCGCCTCGCGGCGCTTTCCGGGGTCCAGGTCTTCGCCGTCGAGTACCGCCTCGCGCCTGAATTCCCCGCGCCCATCCCCGCCGAGGACTGCTATTCCGCGCTCGGCTGGCTGCATTCGCACGCCGCGGAGCTCGGCATCGACAGGGCGCGGATCGGGATCATGGGGGACGGCGCGGGCGGGGGTCTGGCGGCTGCCACGGCGCTGTTGGCGCGTGATAGGGGCCTCAATCCACCGCTTAGGAGCCAGGTGCTCGTGTCTCCGATGCTCGACGATCGCGCGGCGGCTCATTTGGCGGCGGCGGGAGATTCGCCTCTCTTGGCCTTCGCTACGATCCCCTTGCAGAGTATCCGCATGTGCTGGCGGGCGTACCTCGGGACTGGCGCGGGGCGAAGCAATGGCGGTATCAGCCCGTATGCGGCGCCTGCGAGGATGTCGGATATAAGGGGTTTACCGGCTACGTATATTGATGTGGGAGGGCTGGACTTGTTCAGGGATGAGTGCGCTGTGTTTGCGCAGAAGTTGGCCGAGGCCGATGTCCAGGTCGAGTTCCATATTCTGCCTGGCGTGCCGCATGGGTTTGAGGCCGCGGGTGACATTGGGGTCGCGAGGCGTGCGTTGCGGGAGCGGATTCGATGGGTTAGGAATTTGTAGGCTGCGACTCGGAGAGGAATTTTGAGGCTTTTTTTTGGTGTTGGTGAATCGATCAAGAGGGGGGTTTTCTTCTTCTTCAACCCGCCCTTCGCCTTGGTATATAATAGTTATATATCATGAGATTTGTACACAGGCAGGGGCAGACGAAGAATAGGATGCTGAAGTATTTTTATCAGAATTACCTAAGGAGGGAAACTCAGTGAAGACTATGAAGATTGATTAGACGGAACACTTAATATTCTCAGTTGCTACCTACCTAATGTAAGCTGACAAGGGCTGATTTGACTTGTAGCTAGAAGATGGCGTGTTCTATTACAAAGCTGAAAGCCCAAAAGGAGGGTTTATCCACTCAATCAAGGTCATCGTTATTATCACCATCGTCTATGCTACTTCCTTCTAGAGATCAGTAATTATTCTGCAAATGCATAGTGACACGTAGTTTAGCCTCCTCTCTTTTTCTTTTCTTCGCTAGTCACCGGTTACTCTTCCTTCTTTACGCCAGCAGGATCTGAGAATCTGTTGTGCGGAAGCTTGCGTGAGGCCCGTTACACCTGTTATGCAGCAATAGACTCCGCTACCCGCAGAAATGGCCTTTCGCAGTCATATCATTATAGTACACGTATGAAGACAGTTTGCATAGGTTTCAGATACCTGTTAAATGAAGCTATTTAGACTTCATTCTCTACGACGTAAAGTAAGGGCCGAAAGAAAGGCTGTGCGTATAGGCTCTGACCTCTAGGAAGTCCGGAAAAGGAGTCTTCTAGATAGTCAAGGGACTACGCAGTCATGGAATATTATTGTCACATCGAGTCTATACCCTAGCCCTGAATTCAGCCCTTGTTATAGAATCACCCATTCTCGAACGAGCAATCACCTCTACTAAGACTGCTATATTAACCGAGATATGATTACTAGAACTAGATCTTGGCTGGGTTTCTTATTATCGAGTAAACTAGAAATCTTAAGCTAAAAGACCAATTTTGATAATAGGGCTGCCTCCCGGACGCAACGACGAAGTCTTCTTAGAGTCCCTGAGCTTCTATTCCAGTCACTCCTTTCGTTCAACACACATCTAAGTAATGCTGTTCACGGTACGTTTGACGCGAGTCATCTTGTCTCGTTCTGAGCATGGATCTCTCAGACATGCGACTGAAACTGATCTCGCCTATCGACGTATGTCTGTCGGTGTACTGGTATGTTGGTATACATACATCGTCTCTTCAAAGGCCCGAGTAGACAAGCCCACACACTCTCGCACACTTTCGTCACATCTTGACCGTCTATATGTTGTCAATTTCCCATCCAGCTAACACGAAGTCGGAAATCTGGTGTGCCTGGTTAGCTCAATCGGTAGAGCGTGAGACTCTTAATCTCAAGGCTGCGGGTAAGTAGCAAACAGAAAATAACAATCAGTTCTTTCAACAGTTACTAATAAGAAATTTGCAGGTTCGAGCCCCGCATCGGGCTTCTCAGTTTTTTTCTCTTTTCATACCTTTAATTTTTGTTACGTATACATATTGTTAACAAGTGTGCCATTAGAGAAGTTTGTTGTGTGGTCTTGTAGAAGAGCAAGTTGTGCGGTGGGTCCCGTACCTAGGTCTGTAGAATTAAACTCCCTACTAATTATTTTTTTCCCTCCGAGCCCGGCTCCTAGACTAGAGAACCGCGATGAAAACTTTGTTTCCTTTCCTCTCTTGCTTCCCTCGTCTCTGCCTTATAAGTGGTTATGCCCACAAGCCTAGCACCTCATGCTCTTGGTATGAGCAGTAGATTGCGTTGGCGGAACTGAGTTGGTAATATGGGGGCAGGATAAATAGACCGTCATATACCGGATCGCGTGAGAAGCATCTTAAACACCCTGGGGATATTGAACGGCTTCTGTGACTCTAATAGCCGACTTAGTTTAAGCGAGTCACATTATCCGCAGCCTTGATTTAGGTACTTAGTGTCTCATATCTAATATATTGTCTATAATTTGTATAATACCGTTTCGTACAGCTATGAAGAAGTAGAAGTAACTTCTTGCCCGACTTCATCAAGTGCTTTCATCAAACCTTCTATGGTACTCACCTTCGTCTGGCAATTCACCACAACCCTGAAGAAGCTGCCGTTCTCGCCGGGAGCATAGTCGACCATGAATCCTCTACTGACGAGCTTCCTGACCATGGTCTTCGTCCGCCGCGTATTGGCCTCCGCATTCGAGTCCAGCACCCCGCCGGGCGCATGATAGAAGCAGACCTGCAGACAGGGCGGCGGGTTCGTCGAAAGCAGCGCGAAATCATCCGCTCCATCGACTAGCGACGCGAGGCGCGCGGCCATGTCGAATGCATGATCGATTTGCGCCTCGAAGCCCGCGGCGCCGTAGTAGATCCACGCAAGCGCCAGCTTCAGACTATCTCCACGACGACCACACTGGAGCGTGAGATCTGCGAGATCCCAGTATTCTTCTTTCTCGGCTGCGTCTTCGCCGGCGGTATTACCACCGTCGTCGTCATCATCGCCGTGGAAGAGATACCCCGCAGGCAGCGTGTTGGCACGGTGGAACACGGCCAGGTCTCGCGTCAACAAGAACGAGCAGGTTACGGGGACGTTCATCATCTTGTGCGGGTTGACGGTGATTGTATCTGCGCGCTCGACGCCGGCGAGCTTATGTCGTTGCGCGGCCGAGAAGGCCACGGGCCCGCCCCAGGAGGCGTCCACATGCATCCAGATGCCGAAGTCGGCGCACACGTCCGCGATCTCGTGGAACGCGTCGAAGGATCCCAGCACCGTCGTCCCGGCCGTGGCGTTGACGTACAGCGGCGTCATGCCCTTCTCCTCGGCGTCGAGCACGGCGTCGCGGAGCGCCAGGGGAATCATGCGGCCCTCGCGGTCCACGGGCACCGTGATGACGTTCTGCGACCCCATGCCCGCCGTCGTCGCGGCCTTCTCCACGCTGTAGTGCCCGTGCGCGCCCGTGAAGAGCGCGAAGACGAACCCGCCGTTCCCTGCCGTCTTGGTGGTGGGGTAGAGCGTGTTGCGCGCGACGATGAGCGAGGTGAGGTTCGAGGAACTCCCGCCTTGGCAGGTCACGCCGCCTGCGCGCGGCCCCGTGAGCCCGAAGAGAGAGGCGAGGGCGCGTGACGTGGTCTTTTCGACTACTGTGAGAGATGGTGAGGTTTGGTAGATGTGAACCTGTTTACGGGTTAGTGTCATGGTTCATCAATCTGCGCCAAAATGTAACGGGAGTGAGACAGGTGCATAAGCACTCTGGCGGTATACATAAATAGACTCACATTTGTATTTAAAACAGCGAGTAGCAGTTCAGATATCACGCCGACCTAGATCATTCTAATCAGCCCCTATCACCACTCTCTGTCTGTGTGGCCACTAACAGCATTCGTGCTCGAGTATAGCTTATCTAGGAATCCCTGATCCCAAGTATTCACGCTATACCTCAAGACGTCCTGAATCGCGTCCAGCAAGCCATCTTTCCCTCTGCCCTGGCCTTCGGGCAAAGAGAACTGCAGGCGCTTCACGAGGTCCTCGGGACGATAAGACTCAATGAGGACATTTCGCTGCGATGCGCCTTCGCCGATGCGGCCTTGAGCTCGGAGGGCGGAAGCTTCATCTGCCGCCCTGATGTAGGGTACGATGAGAGATTTCACGGCATTTATTAACTACACATCTTAATGGATTAGAAAATGAGACTCTGAGAGTATAATATGATATGAAAACCTCCAAAGTGGGGCGCGCGGGGTCCTTGATTCATCCATCCATCTAGGTAACCAGCAAGTTGATGGATTTGTAGCTGGGAACTGGGAAAGAAGGGGAGTTTCGTAAATTCAACTTACATCTTCAACCTCATCGGCTCGGTTCAGCTGAGGTAACGACGTCATGATCGTTTCCGACTAACAACCAATGAACAGAGAATGAATAGTTAGTTTTGTGGATTCATGGATGGAAAGATCACTCCAAGCTCGCTTTACGAAAACAGCTCTTCGTATAGTATAGTAAGTACACGAAGCGCGCGAGAATCTCCGCATCTGCCAAGACTTTCCCGACGATTGCATCATTTTTTGGCTTGCTTTATGGAGTGCGCTATATGGCACATTGGGCTTCATAACCTCTTATAATACTCGTCGTCATCTCTTAGGTTTTAGATAGTATGGATAAGCTAGTCATTAGTATGGATAAGATGGTGTGACTTTACTCGTCGATGAAAAAAAGGAATATACCAACTTGTCTGGAGCTTGAAAACGCTGCAGTACAGACACAGTTGGTTTATCTTTCGTGGATGATTGATACCATGCTGGGGAGGTCCTCGGCTTAGTTCTCGTTTCCGAGAAGTAAGAAATCTTTCCTTTTTTCCGTAACAAAATTTCTTCTTTTCATCTAAGCGTCCCTTACATCCGGCGCATACCGTAATATCGTTAGTCGTCTAATTGGTACATATATGGTGTGGTTTCTAGTGGTTGAACCTGCGAGTTTTGCCCAAATGTCGCCTCAATGCCTCATAACGCCCAAAAGAGAAAAAAGAAAAGAGAAGGGGACTCGATATAAGGACAATAGATCATATTTTTGCCCACCAATTCCTTTTCACTCGCGCTTCTGCTCATGTTACCTGACAAGTATCAACGAGCGAAGTCTTAATCAGCACGTTTCTTTCCAGCTGCGTTCGCGCCTTCGCCCCCATTTTGCTCGCCTGTTTGGATTTTGTCACTGGTGCCTATATCTCCTTGGGGCTCGTCGTCCTCGTCCCAGTTGTCCACGGCATTTTCATCCCAGTTATCAACCTCCTCCTCTAACGTTCTTGAGCGGCCCTGCTCGACATCTCCTCCCAATACGCCTTCTTCTTGTCGGCCAAGTCCCTCACCTAGCTCCAAATCGCCCGCTTCATCGCCTGGTACGGCACTATAACGGCGCTGTCGCTTGCGCTCCAGCATCCTCTGGTGATACCACGAGCATAATCCCAGGCCAGCTAAGCTTCCTACGATGTTCGCGATGATGTCATTGAGGTCGAAGTTGCGGCCGTTAGGAAGGAAGCCTTGTAGGAACTCGGAGCCGACGCCTAGGGAGATGGTGCATACGACGAGGGTAAGATTGAGCGTGCGGCGACGACTCGTGTCGATGACCCAGTAGAAGACGACGGTTAGGATGAAGAAGGTGAGCGCGTGCAGAACCTTGTCGTTGACGATGCCATCGAGCTGGAGGGAGGACAGGCCGGCGTAACCTGCGATGAGGCAGAGCACGAAAAAGACGCCTAGGTGAGACGGGTTGTCAGTTCGGTACTTATCACGCTAAAGACTCGCTTGCGTCGGAGGGCGGGCGACAGAAAAAAAAGTCAAAGAGAGAAAGGATTAGGGTAGTATGAAGTCGAGGGCTAGACTGCGTGGAGCTACGGAGCTACGGACCTGCGAAAGGCAATCGAATACGCATGTTCGTAGGTAATATTCGATCAGAAACGGGACAGAAGGTCAAGGCTAGGTAGACATGGTTTCATAGAGTGCCGGTGTTGTGGATCGTTGGTCTGCGTGTGGTATGTGGTATGGGCTTGGGCTTGGGCTTGTGAAAGCTTGGATGGTCGTGATCGTGTGGGTTATTGACGGCAGCCAAGAAGAAAGCTGCTGCAAAGGCGGTAGTATATAAGAGAAAGCTGGAGCAGCGCTGGAACTCACAAAGGCCGGGCAGGCTTGCAAGTTGCTTGTTTCGGGGCCACGCGGCGGGAGCTAGCTAGGTACCTAAACCTTAGAATACCTAATGAAAGGTGGCCGGGACGCTGTAATAGTAAGTAGGTAGGTACCGTGGCACGACATCCTTCTGGACATGCACGCCTGCGACTGTTCTGTCTGGCAGTAGCTCTATCCTGCAGCCTGCCTGCACTGTGCAGCAAATCTGCAGGCATACCCTATGCGCCCCGCCCGCTCCAATTAGGTAATCGTCCATTTTGGGACATGGAAAGGAAAGTTCGCATACCTACCGAGCCTACCTGCCTCTACGTATAGTTATTATTATCATCAAATGACAGCAGGTACCATTTTCCATCGGCTGGCGACACTGAGTCGTTGAAACCCGATAAATGGAAGGATTGATGACTTTCTACGTATATATTTTGCTTATATGTATGATGTGCTCAATGCTCTTTGTTTATAGGTGATCTATTATTATGTTTCTACAGAGCTTTGATTCATTCCACTACTTGTAACGTATTTAGAACATGTATTGTATAAGGGGCCTCGGTTATTTGTAAACTACTTTACTTGATTTATTTGGAGCATACGGACTAGCTATGTCTTAAAAGGCTACTACTCTTCCCACTGCATGGGAGAGCTGAGGAAACCGTGGGGCTGAAGGCTGACTATGTTAACATGGGGGCGATAAAAAAAAACAGAAACAATATTCAGAGACTCCCGTAAGTACGGATTATCATTGAGCAGTAAAAACCAGCTGGGAATTAGCTCTACAGTACAGATATGTGTACACATATT